TTTTTTTTTTTGTATGAATCGAGAGAGAGAGGAGATATGAGAGGGGGAAGAAGAATAATTAAAGAAGGATAGAAATCAAAAGAGAGAAAATAGATTAACCGACTAAGAAGAAGAAGATGTCAGAAAATAATATAAATTAAAAGAGAAAAGTACCACCACCGGGGGAGAGAGGAAATTTAGGTGGGGTCATGGATCTGATAGAAAAAGACTTATAGAGAGAAGAGTACCACCACCGGGAGAGGGTGAAAATTTGGGTGGTGTTAATGGATCTGATAGAAAAAGACTTACAGAGAGAAGAGTACCACCACCGGGAGGGAGAGAATTGGTTTGGTGGTCGCCGGCCATGGAGAAGAAAAGAGGCGACGACTAGGTTTTAGGCCACAGAGAAGAAGAAGAAGAAGAAGAAGAAGAAGAAGAAGAAGAAGAAGAAGAAGAAGAAGAAGAAGAAGAAGAAGAAGAAGAAGATGCACCACCGGGGGAGGCAAAAAATTCGGCCGCCATGGAGAAGAAGAATTCGGCCGCCATGGACAAGAAGGGCGGCTAGGTTAAAAATCCTGGTGCTCTGATACCATATAGGAGAAATAGAGTTGGAGAAAGAGAGAAATAATAATACGTAATATAATAGAAACCCCCATTATGTTATGGGTTGATTTACATGGAATATATATAGAGAAATACTGCAAGGTAATAGAGTTTGACTAGGTAACTAAATCCTAACTAATCTACGTAACCGAATCATAATAGAATCCTAATATCCTATAATATCTAATAATATAATATACTCTAACATAACATATTAATAACATGTATGATTGGATGAATTTAGAAACAAGATTGCGAAGCAATAAAATAATTGATCATATTATACAAGAAAATATAAAGAGAGAAAAGGAACATTGGAAACAAGTATTGAAAAGAATTATTGCGGTTGTGAAAACTTTAGCTAAAAATAATTTGGCTTTTCGTGGGACAAATGAAAAAATTTATGACAATAACAATGGAAATTTTTTAAGTCTAATTGAGATGATTGCGGAATTCGATCCTATAATGCAAGAACACCTTAGGCGCATTAAAGATAGGAAAATAAATATTCACTACCTCGGGCATAATATACAAAATGAATTGGTGCATATGTTAGCTTGTGAATTAAAAAATAATATTATTAAAAGAATTAAAATGGCTAAATATTTTTCTATTATACTTGATTGAAATCCGAATACAAGTCATCAAGAACAAATGTCTCTTATTTTAAGAAGTGTGAATATATCTATGAATCCAATTCAAATAGAAGAATATTTAATAGATTTTTTAAAAATAGATGATACAACGGGAAAGGTATTTTTGATGAACTTCTAAATGTAATAAAAAATCTTGAACTTGATATTGATAATGTGAGAGGTCAAGGATATGATAATGGTTCAAACATGAACGGTAAAGAACAAGGTGTGCAAAAAAGATTGTTAAATATAAATTCTAGAGCATTTTACACTCCTTGTGGTAGCCATAGTCTTAATTTAGTTATTTGTGACATGTCCAATTCTTGTCATAGAGCTATATATCTTTCTTGGAGTCATACAACGTATATATACTATATTTTCTAGTTCCACAAAGAGATGGAAAATATTGACGGATAATGTAAGGAAATTTACTGTTAAACCATTGTCACAAACATGGTGGGAAAGTCACATTGAAAGTGTTAGAGCCATACAAAGTCATCCAATCGAAATAAGGGATGCTTTGATTTGAATTGGAAAAACTTCCTTAGATCCTAAAATAAAGAGTGAAGCTAAATTCTTAGCCACTTATGAGATTGAAAATTTTGAATTTTTACTTAGCATGAATATTTGGTTTGAATTATTACATGCCGTTAATTGTGTTAGGCAAAATTTACAATCTAAAGATATGCACATTGACTCCGCTATAGATGGCTTGAAAGGTCTTGTATCATTTTTAGAGGATTTTAGAGAAAATGAGTTTGAATTAGCTATTAATGCTACTAAAAAAATTGCTTTAAAATCGGGAATTGAACCAATATTTCGAGAAAAATGTGTGATACATAGAAAAAAACAATTTGATGAAACTCAAAGTAATGATACTATATTATCACCCAAAGAATCCGTTAGGATAGAATATTTGTTATATATTTATAGAATAATATTTACAATACATGTAACAGTTGCTTCGACCGGAAGGAGTTTTTCAAAGTTAAAATTAATAAAAACATATTTACGTTCAACTATGTCACAAGAAAGATTAAGTGAATTAGCTATTTTATTTATAGAAAAATATTTATTAGAAGAACTAGAATATGAAGATCTAATTAATACATTTGCATCTATAAAAGTAAGGAAAATAAATTTTACATAAGATAAAAAAAAAATTAGGGCCTCATTTTTGGGTTTCGCCTAGGACCCCCAATATCCTAGGGCCGGCTTGATATTGTGTATCCTATTTGCGCGGTCACAATATCTCTTGCCTTTGAAATCTCACAAACTGGATTTTCACGAACACTTTTCAATAGAATTGCGGCGCAATAATTGATGTCCAGGTTGCCATGATTGTTTGCCAACCCTTGCATACCGCAACTATGATCGCTATAGTAGATCCCAATTCTAAATTGTCCTCTATCCCCAATTCTTAATGCTCTTAGCCTCCACCTGGAAGGTCTTGCTTCAGTGACATGTTTGTAGATAACTTTTCAAGTTCTTTTCGTACTTTCGATAACTTTAAACTCTCTTTTGGCAAATCGAATGGAGTGGTCTCTAACGGCTGAAATGACCCATGCTTTATTATAAAAAATCATCCCCTTTTCGAGAGTACCTTTGCTGCTATCATAAAATTTTGACCACATACCCGACGGAACACCAATGGAATCGGCTGGGATTTCAGGAAATGACATAGAGTAGAATGATGGTGGATCATAAAACTGAGGAGGAGATTCTACAAATGATGGAATGTTGACATGAACATGGGGAGATGATGGAATTTCTGCCTGCGATATTGTTTATACAACGTCATCAACGACTTCGATATTCTCATCATCGTTCTCTTCACCATTCTCATCATCGTCTTAGAGTCGGAGGGTTCGGAGTCACTTCAAATATTTGGCCCATGTGCATCTCCGAAAGGATCCTCGTCATCATTATAATGACGAGTTTCATTAGGAAGATCAAAATTTTCATGAGCATTTCTCACGCCACTTGATTCCCTGATATATGCCCCAAGATTTTGATAAGAAGGCATCGATGGCCCCGTTTCAAAGCCCATAGTAGAAAACCCCTGTATAGCCGCAACTAACTTAGGATTTGTCTGCATAAAGGAATTGTATGTTTCATTCAAATCAAAAGGTTGTGAAGGTCTCGAAGGGGAGTAGAGAGGTTCTGATGTAGTGATTGTGAAGACATCAAAGGATTGTATAAAGGTTGAGACTCAACATAAACATCTATGGAATCGTTTCCTTCATCCGGGTCCAAATAGATTTCTAAATCATCATCACTTGTTATCTCTGAAACTATCTCACTCCATTGATTTTGATACCATCGTGATATTTTGCCAGACACCGATAACACAAATTCATTACTATCTATTCTGCAACGTGAGTATATTTTGGCCAAGAAGTATGAGAAAGATATATCGTGTTTAACTCGTACGACTGTATGATGAGATTGATCATAATCACTGACAATCCATCATGAACCATGTGGCGTCCTATGTACATGAAAACTTTGACAGTATTTCTACCCGGAGTCGCCATTGAAACCCTATATCTTGATATTTTGAGATTATTATTTTTATTCCGAAATATTTAATATTTTCTAATTCTTTTTATAGCTAGAAACACTAAATTTAGATTTTTTATAATTTGATAGTTCGAAAACTATTAATTTGTAAATTATAAATCATAAACAAATTGTGTAACTCGTAATTTTTCGACACATTCATATAACACTAACACGTTAAAAAACAAACAATTTACATAATTTAGCAAACTTATCATTCAAGTAAAACTTTAATTAACATAGATAATATTTAATTTACCTCAAAGATAATTGAAGATTTGCTAGCACCCACATTCACTTCTCAATGTACAACAAGTTAGACTTCCACCTAGTTATAATAATAAAAAAAAAAAACAACAAAATTAAAATTTCAACCATTATTTAAAAAAAAGAAAAAAAAAGCAGCCCCAAATTGTACTATATTTGTACAATATAACAAATAATTACCTTCAAATTATTATTATTATTTGCCAGCTACAAAAATCCCTTTTCAAACCACCACAAATTACACTTCCACGCCTAGTTAAACAAAAAAAAAAACAACAAAATTAAAATTTCAGCAATTAAAAACAAGAAAAAAAAAATCAGCCCCGAATCTTACTATATTTGTACAATATAACAAATAAATACCTCCACATAATTATTATTTGCTAGCAACGTAAATTCCTTCTCAATCAACCACATATTAAATTTCACCTAATTATAACAATCAAAACACAACAAAATTTAAATTTTAGCCATTATTTAAAAAGGATAATTAGTGAAAACGCCCTAAAATATTTAGTTATATTAGGCTGGATGTAACCTCATTTTGCATATTAGTGAGAACCCCAAATTTATATTTTAATTTAGTATAAATCAAAAATTTATATGGTATGTCTATATTACCCTTAATTACTACATAAAAACACTAAACCATATTTCTCTAATTCATTCTTCATTTTTAATCCACCAGCCGTTACTTCTCTCTCGCTTCTCTCCCTTTCTTTCCACTGCCATCGATCCCCACCTCTGCACAACCGCCTCTCCATCGCCACCGCCATCGACCTCCTTCTATCTTGTATTTCACGATATAAAAAAAACATAGCTAGGGTTTATGCAGATCTGTTGGTTTTTTTTTTTTTTTTTCCTTCTTCTTCAATATTTGAAATCATTTATATAACCCTCGTGGGAAATGCGCCTCCACCACCTTTGTAATGGAATCAATCGACCCCGAGAATGATGAAGAAACCTTGGATTGTACCTTCATGGAGAATCGCCGCCGCGACGCTCCATTGCCCCCACCCTACATCTACCAAAGTTTTGGTTGTTAGAGATACCAAGGTTTTCGATTTCATCATTAGATTTTTTATTACGCCATTAACAAGGTGTATCCACGCCGCCGTCATCTCCCCCCAATGCTGGCATCGTTTTGCTGTTGCAATTAGTTGAGTATTTCGCACAGGAAAATAGTTGTTTGCATCACTTTTTTAGTTATTTTCAAATTTGGCTATTTGTTTTAGTTAGTTTCGAATTCTGCTATTTGTTTTAGTTGGTTTCGATAATTTATAATTGATTTTGATAGTTTTTGTAGTCGATTTCGACAATTTGTAGTTAATTTCGATAACTTTATAGTTGATTTCGATAATTTATAATTTTGATAATAATTGATTTCAAACTGGTAAACCTTGAATACCATAATTTTTTAGTTGTTTACCGTAATTTTATAGTTGATTGTGAAAAAATAACCTAAAAAAAATGAAAACTGTAGTTGATTAAGAAATTTTTGTAGTTGATTATGGAAAGAAAAAAAATAAATTTCAAATAAAAAATATTAAAAAATAATCACAATATTTAAAAAAAAAATAGTTGATTTCAGAATTTTTTTAGTTGATTTATGAAAAAAAGGGGAAAAAAGCTGAACAAAAAAGATAAAAAAAAATTATTTTTTATTCGAATTTTTATTATTATTTTTTGAATAATTTATTAAATAAATAAACGAAAATTAAAAGAAATTATATTTATATAAATATAAAAAGGAATCAAGTAATTAGTAGTGGGTAGTGGGCATTGACTAGTGGAGAGTGACAAATCTGGAATATCAAAAAAGCTGGACCTACTACTAATATTGAAAATAAGGGTATATCCACTCTTATTAAAAAAGAGAGTAGAGGGGGTTATCACTAATAGTCCCTATTTAAAAACAAGGAAAAAAAAAAAACAGCCCCAAATTGTACTTTATTTGTACAATATAACAAATAATTACCTCCAAATAATTATGATTTGCTAGCAACAAAAATCCCTTCTTAATCCCACCACAAGTTAAAGTTTAACCTAATAATAACAAGTAAAAGCAACAATAAAAATTTGAATTTTAGAATAAATTATTAATATATTTTAACAGTACAAGAAAAAATTTATCTCCAAATAATTGATAATTTACTAGATCAAAAATTCTATTAATCCACTATTAATAAAAAATTAACAAAATAACATTAATAATTAAAATCGTATTTAACTATAATAATAATTGAAAGAGTGAAAATTTTTATCTCAACAAGTATTCTGCTGGAATTAATTAAAATTACCTACAACAATAAAAATATAAATTAGCAAAATACAAATGAAAACAATAATAATTAACAAAAAAAAAAAAGGAGACAAGAAAACTTACGATTGGGAAGAAGGGAGCAAATGTGAAATGTGTTAAGGGATAAATATATATATTTGCGGCCCAAACACACCTGTTGGATTGAGAAGTATAGAACGGTCCTTAAAGGGCGTGACTTGAATTGACGTGTTCAACCGTCTGACAGGTCAAAGCACGCCATTCAATATGATGCCTTTTAAGGACCGTTCGATCAATTGATTTATCCCGGGCCGTTCAATTGAGAAGACAAAATTCGACAAATGGTCGTTGACCAAAGCCCAATCCGACGGCCCTTAGGGCAACTCCAATTAAGGGCAACTCCAACCGAGGCCCTAAATGAGGCCCCAAAAGCAATAACTGCCATTTTGATGGCTAAAGTCTGGATTTTTTTGTTCCAACCGAGCCATCAAAACAGGCCCCATTTTAGGACCTCCCCATCTCTGCCATAAAAAATGGGGTCTGAAAATTGGGTAATCAAAAATTGGAGGGAAGCTCCCAACGGATCTATTTCCTCCCAACGGATACATTTCCACCCAAACGTCTCTTTTATTTTGCAGATTCAACTTTAATTTAAAAAAAAAAAAAATCCTATAAAGAAGACCATTTTGGTTTGAAAAAATTACATAATTTCAAAACTCAAAATTAAAAGAAAAACAACGAAAAAAAAAGGTAACCTTTTATGGATTTCTGAGTTTCTGATTTTTCTTGTGAATCGGAGCACGAAAAAAATAGTGAAAGAAAGATGAGAGAAAAGGGGTTAGAAAAAAAAGAGAGAAGAAGATTGGGGAGAATGAGTGAGAGAAAAAAAAAAGAACAAACAGAGGATGAAAATAAGAGAGAGGCGAGAAGGAGAGAAGGAGAGAATTAGAGAGAGAGAGAGAGAGAGAGAGAGAGAGAGAGAGAGAGAGAGAGAGAGAGAACAGAGGAGAAAAGAAAAAGAAATAAGAGAGAAAGAGAGAGAAAACAGAGAAGAACAGATGAGAATAAGAGAGAGGGGTGTTGGCGGCTCAAAGTGGTGGGGGTGGGGGGATTAGGGTATATATATATTAGGTTAATTAGGGTTATTTACTTAAGTGTTTATTTTTGTATATTATTTTTTATTTATATGCTAATTATTTTTAGGTTAATTATTTTTATGTGTATGCTAATTAATAATTATTTTCTTGCTTTTATAGATGAATGACGATATGTATCATTCTTACGCTGATTTGCTAAATAGCACGTCACCGGAGTTTGTGGAAACTAATCAATTCGACGAGATTTCTACACCTCCGAAAGTGCAGTGGCAGGGCAAGTATTATCAAAAAGAAAAAAGATTTTTTCCCGCGATGAGGATATTATTCTTGTTTCAGTATGGCTAAATACAAGCAAGGATGCTATTACTGGAAATGATCAGAGAGCCACTACGTTTTGGGGAAAAATATATGATCTGTTTATGAGTCATGGCGGTGATGTGGGGCGTACCGAGAAAAGCATAAAACATCGCTGGGGACAAATTAATGCACGATGTGCTAAATTTGCTGGTTGTGTCAAACAAATCGACGATAGGCATCAATCCGGTCAATCGACTCATGGAAAGGTAAATATTTATATTCAAATTTTTGTTCATACAATACTATTTACTTATTTTTCACCTTATTTTTTTTGCAGTTGATTGAAGCAAAACATCTATACGTTGCCGATGAAGGTAGAGCTTTCCAACTAGAACTTTTCTTTGAACTTCTTCAAAACGAGAGAAAATGGCAAACACTAAAAAAAAGTAAAATTGTCAACCTCGATGTTGATGCAAGCCCATTTGGTGATAGTAGTGATCATTCCACTACTCACGTTCGGCCTCTCGGTAACAAGGCGTCAAAAGAACAATTGTCAAGGAAGAAAGCAAACTTAAAGACCGGTAGCTCATCTACGATGCCTGTTACGGATGAGCGTTGGGCAGAAAAGATTGAAATAGAAGAACAAAAGTTTGAGCAGCGCAAAAAAATGATAGAGGAGTCTCAAAAAAGTCGTGAGATTGCAATTATGGGGACAAACACTAGCGGAATGGATCCAATTCATGCCGCTTATTGGGAGGCCCAGAAAAATGAAATACTTAGCAAAAGAGGTTTTAATTGATTAATCTTGTATGTTTATTTCTCTAGTAATTTCAAATTGTATGTTTATTGTTTTCTAGATAAAATGAAAAATTATCATTGTAATCAACGTTATTTTATTAATATTAGAAAGTACCGTTGAGATAAACTGAAACATTATAAATAGAAATAAATTGAAACACTACAAATAGAAATATTGCCACAAATTGAAATATTACAAATACAACTATCAATCTTCTTGACCGTGCAAATTCCAAAGATGCTCAACAAGATCACGTTGGAGTTGGGAATGAGTACCCCTATCACGAATCTTGTGATGACTTTGAATAAACTCAACAAACTCATTTGTGTGCTCGTGTGACGGAATAACATCTGGAGTTGCATTAAGTGAGTCTGGCATCCCAAAAAAAGCATGCCATGCCATATCCAAAGATCCTGAGAAGCAACCACCTCTAATACAATAGTCGGTGAACGAGAATGGCCAGTGTACATACCTTTCCAAGCAGTTGGGCAATTTTTCCACTCCCAATGCATGCAATCAATGCTTCCAAGCATTCCTGGAAATCCACGTTGCTCGTTAACTTGGAGCAGTCGCGATAGATCTGTTTCGGTTGGTGTTCTTAGATATACTTCACTGAAAATGACAACTATCGCTTCGACAAAATGACGTAAGCTATCAAGGGAGGTGCTTTGACCTATGTGTATATGATCATCTAGAAGATCAGCTGGAATTCCATAGGCAAGTATTCTGAGTGCAGCTATTACCTTTTGAAGAGATGATAAGCCAGGGACCCCGATTGCATCATTTCTTTGTACGAAGTAGGGATCATATGATTCAACTGCATTTAGAATTCGACAGAAAAGAGGCCTCCGCATCCGAAATCTTCTTCTGAATTGATCATCAGAATATGTTGGATTATCAGAAAAATAATCCTGATAAAGCCTTCTGTTCCCTCCAGCTCTGTCACGATGAATTACCCTTTGGCCCGGAACAGAACCACGACGACGCCTATTTCGCCTTTCGCCTTCCTCATTTTGAGTTGCTATTAAAAGCAATTCAAGATCGTCATCAGACTCAGAAGTTAAGAAAGTGTTTAGCAACTCAAGATTTCGATACATGGTGAAATGATGAGACGAAAATTGCAAAATAGAGAACAAATGTTATAATATGAATAAGCTATTTAAGTGTTAAAAATTGCATCCTATGAACCCTCCTAAATAGATGTTTGGGGATGAAGATAAGATGTACGATATGGACACAAAATCTCATCAGAAATTTTAACGTCCTCTCAAAACTCGACATGTATCCCAAAAAATCTTATCGGCGAAAATGTAATAGTAATTTTGACGTCCTCTAAAAAATTGACAAGTGTTCCCGAAAATCTTATCAGGTAAAATATGATAGTTGCAATATGTAGAATAATTCTTTAATCGACACCTCGACACAAATTATTTTTTTCGTATTATTTAATTTATTTTATTTTTATTTCATTTAAATTTAAATTTAAATATATTTATTGATTTATTTATTTCTAACAAAATATAGTTAGTTTTCATTTAAATAAAATAAAATAAATTAAATTTAAAAATGGGGCCCCAATTTGATGTTTGCCATTACAGTGAAAACCTTTTTGTGAAGCCCCAAAACACTATAGCAAGCCCCAAATGAGTGTTTGGGGTCTCCCATTGGAGTTGCCCTTATAAAGAGTTATTTCAAATGACGCTTTATTGTAGTTTTGCAATCAATCCAAAAAGCACCATAATTTTCAAAATAATAGATAGAATTATAGTAGGAAAAAAAAATGCCCCGTGATGCATTGCCCTACCAATATTTTTGGTACAATACATTAATTTACCATTATGTTTTAGTCTAAAAAAATTGGTAGAGAATTGAAAAGAGTATAATAAGAAACAATTAGCTGGATGATATTTTGGTAAAACAAAAATCTACTCCTGAGTATTAAATTGTCAATCAACTAGTACTGCACCCGTGCGATGCACGGGGTATTCATCGTAAAACAAATATTGAATATTAAAAAAGGTTCTCGAAATAGTAAGATTAATTGTTGTTATGTAATCCAAAAAAAATATTAAAGAAAAATAAGTAATTTGTATTGTGGAAGTGATGAAATAAGCCGAAATAAATGAAAAAACTAAACATCGAAGGTTTAAATTTCCACAACACAGAGCGAATATATCGTTGGTCCCAAATTTTAGCAACCACAATGACATATGAACGTTCAAATATTGCATTTGATCCAAACAATCACTGTTATTTTGTTTGATACCAACCTCCCTATACGCATGGAACGAACCCAATACAATGCAATTGACCTGCGTATGTTGTACAATGGTCATACGAAATATGTAAATTGTTACAAAACAATACCAATATAATTGTTTAATGGCATAAAACCATTGTAAAAGAATTACCTTCATGATATATAGTGAGCGAAGTCCATGGCAAGTTCGTAGTACAATTAAAATAAACCTACAAATGAGGAATAACAAAACATATAAATAATAAATAATAAAGGTCGTCATTGAATATTGTAATTTTTTTTTATATAAAATTACCTTCATATACGCTGAAAACATCCTTGTATACAACATTATTTGTAACGTTGGTCGTATCACCAGATTCCGAGTTAATCAAAATATATATGCCACTTCGACTCTTAACTCTCGAGAGTGCAACATAGAGTTGCCCGTGACTGAAAACATGTCTCGGCAATACAGGCCTACGTGAGAAAGAGTCTATCCTTTACTTTTATTGATTGTCATTGCGAATGATACCAGCAGCGGAAACTGACGTCGCTGGAATTTATTACTCATCCTTCTCTTTGAGGATAGGATCGTCGTTGGTCCATCTTTCACTAATGATCTCACAATTTTCTAGTAGTTGTAGTTCGCGCGAACACGCAAGGGACTATCCTTTCTATTGTTTGCCCTTGTTTTTCACGCTCAAAGGCCTCTCTCTCTTCTATAAAGCAATGCAAAGCGCATGTCGCTGAAGTGAAGAAAGCTCAATAAACACACAGGAACGCGATGCAGGGCATATCATAAATGAAAGCGCTGATCATTTTTGAAAACATATATGCTCAATGCAGAGTTGGATAGTACTAAAGTCATTCTAGGAATAAACACCATATCACCAACATGTTTATCGGATAGGATCCTGTTGAGAACGTGTTTTCCCATATTAATAATTTGAAGCCTTGTTCCATTGCACAATCTTCTGGCCCCCTCCAAGAACTACAACCTTCCTTCCGAATGGCATCTCTGAATCAAGTATTAATTTCATTGTCTTGTCAAGTGTCTCGAAACAGTACATGTGCATCATTGGTGTCTCGTTTCATATAATTGGCTTTTCTTTAGACAACAAACTGCATGTGGACTTTGTTGTATAATGCTGCATGTGGAGCTTTGAATTAGTATATTATTGAAATGTATTAGTCTGAGTATCAAGATTACTAACCATATTGATAATGCTAATACTAATCATAATCTGGTAATGTTTATCCTAATAATAATGTTAATGCTAAACCTAATCCTAAACGTAATGCTAATTATAATTGTAATCTTAATTATAATCATAATTTTAATACTAACACTAACACTAACACTAACACTAACACTAACACTAACACTAACACTAACACTAACACTAACACTAACACTAACACTATTACTAATACTAATACTAATACTAATACTCATACTCGTACTCGTACTCATACTCATACTCATATTAATACTAATACTAATACTAATACTAATACTAATACTAATACTAATACTAATACTAATACTAATACTAATACTAATACTAATACTAATACTAATACTAATACTAATACTAATACTAATCCTAATGCTAATGCTAATACTAATACTAATACTAATACTAATTCAAAACCTAATACTAATCTTAATCTCAATCCTAATCTTAATCCTTATCATAATCATAATCCTAATCTTAGTCCAAATCATAATACTATCACTAATACTAAACCTAATTCTAATCATAATTCCAATCCTAATAATGATATTGATTAGTAATATTAATCCTAATACTAAAACCAATGCTAATCATAATTCTAGCTGTAATCCTAATCATAGTCCTTATCCTAATACTACTACTACTAATACTAATACTAATAGAATTTTTAATCTCAACACTAATAATAATGTTAATTGTAAAATTAATTCTAATACTAATCTTAATATTAACCATAATACTAATGCTAATACTAATGGTAGTGCTATGCTAATACTAATTCTATTATTAATGTTAATCCTAATGCTAATGCTAATACTTATGCTAATGATCATGGTGATACTAATCCGAATATGGTAATGCTAATGTTAATGTTAATCCTAATCCTAATGCAAATGCTAATTCCATTCATAATCTTAATGTTAATCATAATTTCAATACTAATATTAATTATAATCTTAATTATAATACTAATCATAATCATAATCATTCACTTAATCCTAATTATTAACCTAATCCTAAATCTATTCAAAATCATAATCCTGATCCTCAGCCTAATATTAATCCTAATAATAATTCTAACCCCAATAGTAATGATAATCTTAATTCTAATACTATTCCTAATTCTAATTCCAACGGTAAACATAATCCTTATTCTTATCCGAAAACTAATAGTAATACTAATACTAATCAGAATACTAATAGTGATATAATC